AAACATTGATTGGTTGTCTCCCATACATGCCCTGACTGGGAATCGAACCCCCAGCCATTTGGTGTATAAGACAGCGCTCCAACCAACTGAGCCACGCTGGCCAGGGCTGTTTCTGTGGACTTGTTTCTGTGCCCCACCTTAGCAGCACTGCTTAGTGGTTAAAAGCGTGGATTTTAACCACAATCAGATGTGCTTTACCCCCGCTTGCACTAGCTGTGTGGCCTCGGACAGTTGCTTTACCTCTCTGAACCTCAGCGCCCTTATCTATAAAATAGAACGAATAACTTTTAAATGCTTATGCAGGGAAGGAGCCCAACAGAGAGAGGGCCTGGCAGGGTAGGCGTCCAACACACATTCACTGTCACCCTGCCTCGGACTTCCCTCCTGTGAGGAAGACTTGCCTGCCTTCCTGTGGGATGGTGAAGGCATGTCTCACACACCTGGGTGCCCCTCGGGGCCCAGCACACGGTAGGGGCCCAGGAATTGTTGGGATCGAAGTCTTTAAAAACCCATCGGAAAAGAAGTACACAACTGTCACCCCTCGCACTTTTGTGATTCAGTGGCTCCCAGGATGAACTGTGCGATGCTCATTTCTGGCCTGCGTGCCCTGCCGAGGACTCGGCTTTGAGAGGCTGGTGTGGTGCCAGGGACAGGAGGTGGACTTCGATGCCAGCCAGATTTGATTGTGAATCTTGACTCTGCCACTTAGAGCTGTGTGACCTCAGGCAAATTGCTTAACCTCTCTGAGACTCAGAGAGAGTGGGCTAAGCATTTTTGAAGAGTGGCTGTGAGGACTGGATGAGTTTATGGTTGATTCCTGGTCTCAGGGGCTGTTGATTTCATTATTGTTACTGCTGGTGTTTCTGTTAACAGTCACGTGCTGCTTGATGACAGGGTCCCTTCTGAGAAATGCATGGTCAGGCCCTGGCTGGTGTGGCTCAGTGGACCGAGCGCCGGCCTGCAAACCCAGAATTCTCCAGTTCAGTTCCCGGTCAGGGCACAGGTCTGGGTAGTGGCCAGGTGCTCCCTGGTGGTATGCTAGAGGCAACTGACCGATGTCTCTCTCACACATCAAAGTTCCTCCCTCCCTCCCCTTCTTCCTAAAAAGTAAATAAACAGAATCTTTTTAACGAAATACAGGAACTGGCCATTGTGTCCCTGTGCGAACACTACAGAGGCACTCACACAGACCCAGGTGGTACGGCCACTGCACACCCGGCCGTGTGGTGCACGCAGCACGTGACTGCGCTGACTACTGCAGGCAACCGTAACAGAGGTATTTGTGTGTCCAAACATACCTAAACGTAGCAGAGGTACAGTAGAATATGGTACAGGTGATTTTTCCAATGGAGCACCTGTACAGGGCACGTACCGTGAATGGAGCCTGCAGGCCCGGAGGCTGCTCCGGGGAGTCCGTGGGTGAGTGGTGCGTGAGTATGAAGCCCCAGACGTCACTGGACAGCCCTGGAGACTCTGCAACGCTGCCCCACAAGCCGGCCTCCCGCTTCCTCCTGACAGGGTCGGAGGCAGAACCTCAAAGCTGCTCCCTAAACAGGGAGGCGGGCTGGACTGACTGGGGACACCGAGGAGACACTGGCTGGTAGGACGCGGAGACCACGTCAGTGGCCATCAGGACGGAGTGAGGGGGCGGCCTGAGGGTCCGCGGGGACAGGACACTAAGACAGAAGGAGAGCAGCACAGGGGACCTCGTGGCCCTGTGGTGCGGCGGCTGCCTGTCGGAGCAGTGGACAGGTCAAGGAACTTGGTGGCGTGTTTAGAAAAAAGGGGGGTTAACGTGGAGAGAGTGTAGAGCTGAGGACTCGCTATTTCGACTTTGGAATTTGGCTTTGGCTCCATCGAGCCTGTCTGGCATAAAAGGCTCTCTCCGGTGTTGAATAGATGGAAGAAATAAAACGATGCATTACACCATTACAACCAAAATATGTCCAAGTAAGTGTAGGGACAGACTGGCCCCACTCAGCCACAGAAAGCTTTTACTAAAGTGGCAGTGGCAGCTGGGGACCTGTGTCCTTGCACAGGGTCTCAGGTCCCCAGCAGGGGACTTACAGCCACGACCTCTGAGGACACGGGCCAGGGCTGGGGGCCTGGAGCGCCATCCGCACACGCCGTGCAGGGGGACAGGCTCCCCTGTGCCGAGCAGGTCGGTGCCCAGCAGCCTGGACTGTGGCCCTGTGGCTGCGCCCTGGGAACAGAGGTGCCCTGAGCCAGAGGGGGTCTCCTGCCCAGGCCCACAGACACGCCCCCGCCAGAGAGGAAAGAACCCTCCCATCTCCCACAGTTCCCTCATCTCTTTGGACCGGTGTTGTGGATGCAGTCTGTCATTGACAAAAGCTCCATATGTGGCACAGGACTGACGGGACATCCCCGCAGTTCCCCTCGCTCTGAGCTCTGAGCAGTACCAACCTTCTCTGTCTTTCCCGTCAGTCCTCTCCGACTCCCGCTCCTCTCGCTCGGTGACTCATTCCCACAGTGCTTTGCATTTTTCCCCAGAGCACTGACTACAAGAACCTGTTGTGATACTGAACAGGAACTGTTGTTACCCTCTGACCTTGGCTCTCAGGGAGGTGGCCTGAAACAGCCAATGGGACAGGAGCAGCAGCGGTGGCCTGGTGGCTGGGAGTCTTTTCTTCCTGGCCCCATGCCCTCCCCGCTGCATGGGACTGAACTTGGGGACAAAAGGGATTGTGGACCCCCGTGAATCCTCCCTTTGTGATGGGAATGTGGCACAGGCCCGGCTCCTGCGAATGGAGCGGGGAGCGGGATCTCCTTCCCAATTGTGCAGCTGGGCAGGAAGAGGCTGGGGCACCGGGAGAAAGGTCCAGAGCCTCTGCGTCTCGGGGCTGGTGCAACTACCAGGCCTCCTCCCCCAAAGCCTGCTGGGCTGGACAATTCTGAGACTGAGTCTTCCAGGGCCACAGGGCAGGGCTCAGTGGCCGTTTGGGGGCCCAGATGAGACCCCCAGTTTCTAAACCATGATCTATGAATTTCTGCGTTTCAGCCAACAATCAGTACCTGGGACCTTTGCTCTGTTTCAGCGAGGGCAGCGCTTCTTTCTCTTGATTTTATTGAGGTCATTGGAATATATTAGGTTCATAGAACCTCCAGGCCAGGCGTGGATTGGCAGCGGTGACCCACTTGGGCCTCAGCCAGGTGGAGCACCTGATGTCCAGAGCTGTGACGGTCTCTTCCCTCCCCCAACCCCACCCCAAATCCCTGCTGGCTCTGGTTGGCCAAGGGTGTGCGTGGGAGCAAAGGTGTGCATGGGGGCAGGAGCAGGCTCCGGGCTCTCACACTCCTGCCGGCTTCTGCCCGGGAAGATGCAGGAACCGCGGAAACCGCAAACCCCACCAGGGAATACAGGTAGAGTCACCTTCTCAGGTCAGAATGGAAATCACGTTTCATCTGGGCACCTTGCCCGTGTTGCTGGGAAGTCATTTGCAGACGGGTACATTTCATATCCAGGTACTCCGAAAATTAGCTCTATCTAATCCTCTCCCCCTCGGGGCCAACCCTTGAACTGGGAATTTCCCCTAATTTATTTACTCTGCTTACAAACAGTTGTTAGGTAGCTGTTTTGCTCCCAACACACTGTCTGGGTGCTGGGCATACAGAGATGAAGAACAGACGGAAGCTTTCTTTCAGGGAGTTCACACTCCAACAGGGGAGACAGGAGCCAATGAGAAAAGAAAGCGAGACCAAACAGACTGTGAGGTAATGTCATCCAGCTGTGGGAAGGAATGTCATCAAGGAGCTAGGAAAGGGGCTTGGGAGGAGCTGAGGGAGGGAGCCGGCAAGCAGATCCTTGTGCAGCAGGGGCATTTGAGCCGAGAAGCAGAAATAGTAAAGAGGTAGGCAAACAAGAGAGACAGGTGGAAGCGTGGTTCAGGCTGCAGGAAGAGCAAGGGCAAAGGGCCTGGGGCAGGACGTGCTTGGTGTGGCTGAGAACCGGAGCAGAAGCGGCTAAGGGCTGGGGAGCCGAGGGATGAGGTATGAGAGAGGCAGGAGCCCAGTCCAGTCTGGTGGGATTTAAAGACCGTAGCAGAGGAGTTTGGGTTTTCAGCGAAGAGTAACTGGAAGACATTGATGGGCTTTTGGAAATTCCCATTACAAAAGTGTGTACATGAGAGATGGGTCAAGTTGAAGGAATAAGAAGTCAAAACCCATGTGGTACTCACTATTCTCCTTGCCAACGCCATTTCTCACTCCTTCGGGGAGAGAGCTGTTATCCTGAACTTTAGTTTATAATCTGTGCCTTTCTGCCCAATATTACAAAAATTGACCAACATATTATTTGGTTTCGCCTGGTTTGGAATTTTGTGTAAAAGGAAACTTGTTGGGTGTGTTCTTTCTGTGATTAGCTTTTCTGTTCAGCGGCGCATGCATTAGAACGGCCCGTGTTGGTGCGTGTAGCTCGTGTGTTCATGTTCACTGCTGCGTAGTACTCCAGTGGGCGAGGCTGCCACAGCTCGTCCCCTCTCCTGGGACAGGCCCTCACTTGATTTTCCAAGGTCAAGCCAACCCTACATTTCTGGGACAAACCCAACCTCGTGGGGAGGTGTTACCATTTTTTAAAGAACATGGTCGGACTCTATTTGCTTAGATTTCATTGGGGATTTTGGTTTCTCTGCTGGTGGGTCACACTGGCTGGTCACTTTCTTGCCTCATTCTGTTTTTGGCTTTGGTGTCAAGGTTACACACATGCCACCCCAGAGCCTGGGGCAGTGTTTCCCCTTCTTTCACCCTCTGGGGCACTTGCATAAGGTGGAGAAAACCAGGGGAGGGGCTGGTAAATGCAGCTACCGTACCGTTACCACGTTTTGGGTGCACGATTTTGGCTTCCTGGCATGCACCCCTACCTAAACCCATGCCCTGTCCCCCCCACCCAAAACAAAGAAAACACATGGCCCCCCCACCCCATGAGCATCTGGGATTGCAATGCTCATAGCTTACTTAGAGATCTGCGTTTCTGCTTTTTACAGGTGGGTCCTTCACTCGAGATTTTAGCATGAAGAGTTGTTTGCAGGCCTTTCTTGAGCCCCCCAGGTAACAACAGGTAAGGGTCTCTCTTAACCAGTTAACAGTTTTTCTTGAAAACCCAGATCCAGGAGCCCACACTTAGCCCTCAGGGCTGCCTTGAACGTGAGCCAGGAAGGGTCCAACTCCAGGGTCCAGAGGGGAACCTGGCCAAGCCGGGGGCCCAGACTGCCCACCAAGGAGACTCTGTTTTAGGAACATGTTGGGAGCTATGTGGTCCAAATTTTCTGAGGACAAAATTAGCTTCTTCCCATATTTTTCAAAGGGAAAGAACACCATACTAAATATAGCGTGGGGAAACAAGCCAGAAACCAGACAGACAGCCCCCAGCCGCACCTCGGGGAGCGGGGCGGAGCGTCCCCCTGTGAAGCTGCCGTGGGGGCTGGTCTTAAAATCGACGGGCAATTTTAAGAAACAAAAACCTTTATTTCATTTTCTTTTTCTAAATACACATACACGTCTACATTTCCTAATAATTGTTTTCCCCATAAGAAATAGCAAGGGAAAGTCAATCTAATCCCATCACACAGAGAAAATCACCATAAACATCATGGTGTGTATAATTGGAGTACTGTGCAATGTGCTATCACACATTAAAGAGTGTTTCTCAGCCTCTCTTTCCCCCTGTCCCCTAAGGACTCCTTACAAACCCCCTTTTGGTGGTGCTCCCCCACCCCCACCCCCACCCCGGAAATGTTAATACCATGGAGCCGCTGTCTGTGTATGAGCTGGGGAGGACCACAGACCATGCTAATATCTATGATTATTACCCCACCCCCAAACCACGTTGTCCCCCTGTGAGTGATCTCACCGCATTCAGAACAGCAGGCTTTAAATAACACTTAATAAGAAATCTTTTCTATGAGGATGTACAATGTGCTGGCCCCATCCTGCTACATGTACTTTGACTTATCATAACTCCTCTATGAGGCGAGGGCCAGAGAGCTTTATCGCCATTTTGCAGCTGTGGAAATTGAGGCACAGAGAGGTTAAGTGACTTGTCCAAGGTCACACAGCTAGGACAGTGCAGAGTGAGGATCTGAGCATAGGCGGTCTGTCTCCAAGTTCACACTGAATTAACCACCGCACTGTGTTGCCATGCAGCAACACATTTGGATCATGAAAAATTCAAAATACAGACCTAGAGAGTAGAAGGTGCACCTCCTAAGCCTGTCCTTCCCCGGAAGCGATCATTGTGATAAATTTGGAGTGTGCCCCTCATCTGGGATTCTTACACACATTTGTACACAGAAAATAGATTGTCTCTTTTTTCTTAACATGAGGAGGATCATGCTGTCTTTCCCCTCATATATTCAAATATACGTATCTCTGTACAGAATATTTTTAAGTTAACACCACGCTGAGCGTACCATTATTTTGATTTTGCTCTTTGACTTCAAAACATATCATTAGCTGCCCTGAGACCAGAATGTAATAAGTGCACAGACCACATTTTATTTAACCAGATCCAGATTATTGGCTGGTTAAGTAGCTTCTGGCTTCTCGTTACCAAAAAGCAATGATGAGTATCCTCGTTTTGCACTGAATTCTTAGAAGTTGGAATTACAGAACCGAAGGCTGCAAACTGCTGAAATTTTTGATCCGTAAATGCCAGAATGTGTCAACCAGAAAAATAGCACGAAAGTGCCCGTCCCAACTCCCTAACCCACCCTGGGTATGATCCTCTGTTTTCCATCACTGACAATTTAACAGGCCTGAAATGTGTGAATCCCAGCCTCTTGTGCCCTGCCAGTGACTCTCATCCAGGGTCTGTTTTGAACTCACTGACCGAGCAAGGCGGCCCTTGACTGCTGCATTAATGGGATGGAGGGGGTGGTGGTTAAAGTGGCCCCGATCACTGGTTTGATAAGCACGCCCTCAGCCTCCCAGGTACAAGGCCTACCTGCCGGGGCCTTAGCAGGTGCTCAGCGCATGGCTTCCTCACCTCCTGCTTCCAGCACAAGCCTCTGGCAGCTCCTCTCCTCCCCTGAGCCCTCCGCCTCTGGCCTTGTCTTAGATCCATTTGGCAGACCTCAGGCGTTCCCAGGGCTGCCAACCCCCTCATCCTTCCCTTCTCCGGCCACGAGTGATGTTGTGAGAAGCAGATGCTCTCATGCGTCTGATAGATTGTTCTTAGCTAGTCCCACTCCAACCGTCTGCAGCGGGATCTCTGTGCCCTGCATGTCACACACATGCACAATTGTGCACGTGCACACACACACAGGTGCACGTGCTGATGCATGCATGTGCCCGCACATATGTACACGCTTATGCATATACACGTGCACATACAATGTAGCCTGTTCAGGTGCAGGCCCTATGATGCCAGCGGGACCTCTGTTTTGCAGAGAATTCCCATAGGCCCTCCAGCCCAAGTTGGGACACCCGACTGCTTCACTGCATAGTTCCTGTATCTCCTCCCCACTTTATCTTATGCCTTATAGACTGTTTGCTGCTGGACTGGAAGCCCCACCAACCTTGAACTTGATCACCCGCATTCCTCTAGGGCCTACAACACTGCTTAGCAGAGGTACGAGAAATATTTGTGGGGAAAAAGAGGAAAAAGACCTCAAGCTGATAAAGGACATTATCCCAAAGTATTTATCAGCAAAGTGGTCAGTTTCAGATTAAGGCCATTGTTTGATGAGAAAATATCTCTGAAGCATCAGATTTCCAGGCACCTGGTTAGCCATCTTTTGGGAAGATCGGAAAGAATGCAGAGTTGAAAAGAGGACCTTGCCCGTGTAAACATCCGTAAAGTCTGCAATTCTGATGAGGCTGCCGCCACAGGAATAAGGGGAAGAGGAGTGGTCGGTCATCAAGGAGCATTGCTTGCTCGCCTTGGGCCACTGGAAGTGTTCTAGGCTAACCCTTCAGGTGACTTGCTCATGCAGCTCACTTACCCAGCCAAGAAATGCTAATGGAGCCCCAGGACAGCTGGCTGCTCCCTTTAGCATGAGGTCTCCAAGCTGCTTCAAGGGAAGGGGGTTTCTCTTCCAGTGGGCACAGCACCTAAGCCGGGGACCGTGCAAGCTCTGTCCCTTTAAGAAAAAGAAAACTCCATGTGGCGGAGGAGAAGCGTGCCTTGCAGGCTGGCTTCACGTGGCCTCTGTTCATTTCATTCATTTGATTCAGCAGACAGTGTTTGGGTCCTGCTGTGTTCCAGCCATAGAGATGAGGAAGATAGAGCCAGAGTGGTGGCTGGGGGCTCGTAGGCAGCTGAGCTGGGGTGAGCACAGAACTTCCAAAATGCCAGAGGTGGGGTGTGCCAGGGCGGGTGAGGCAAGAGCTGAGTGGGAGAGGCAGGACCAGATCAGGTCAGTCACGACCCTCATTTTAAGAGCCTGGATTTCAGCGGCAGGAAATGGGGGTGGGGAAGACTGCAGTGGGCTGTCTGGGCTAGGTCATGTCACTGACTGATGTCCGCCCCCCAGGCAATTCTGTTATCAATCATTATTGATCACGGCTCACGCATGCCATCGTTCACAGTCCTCGAGCACCCAGTGAGGTCCGAGACATCACTGCACTTCATTAAATTCCGCACGATGTTTTAGCGACCCGGAGCCCTGACCATTCCGGCCTCCTGCAGGGGAAGGTCCGGCTTTTCCTTTTCGGGTGGGTGTAGGCGGATCAGCCTTCCCTCTGCAGGCACACAGAAGGAGCCGGTGCGTAAGACATCTGGAATTCATCAAAGGCCAGCCCAGCCGGAGCCCGTGGCTCAGTGCTGCTTCTGAGCTCCTTCAAAGGTGCAGCCGCTGTGTACACAGAAGCGTCGCGAGTTGGAACTGATTTTCCTCTCTCCTCTTCCTGCTTTCCTTTCAGACCTGTTGGGTGCCCTGTGCACATGCGGTGCCTGAGAGTCCGGTTGCTGGTTTTCTCAGTGTGGCACTAAGGATCCTGTTCAGTGCATCTACGGGTTTTTGTTGCGGTGGCGGCTGCCGCTTTTTATTTATTTTCTTTCTTTGAACCGGGCCCTGCCCTGCTCCTGCTGGCGCGATGGCCCAGTCCAAAGCCAATGGCTCACACTATGCGCTGACCGCCATCGGCCTGGGGATGCTGGTCCTCGGGGTCATCATGGCCATGTGGAACCTGGTGCCCGGCTTCAGCGCCGCCGAGAAGCCAACAGCTCAGGGGAACAAGACGGAGACCGGCAGCGGCATTCTCAAGAGCAAGACGTTCTCCGTGGCCTACGTGCTGGTCGGAGCCGGCGTGATGCTGCTGCTGCTGTCCATCTGCCTGAGCATCCGGGACAAGAGGAAGCAGCAGCGAGGGGAGGAGATGACACACATCCAGTATCCGCCGGGGGCCGAGCCCCACACCCAGGAGGAAGACAGGTGAGGACGGGCTCACCCACCCCCACCCCAGCTGGGCCGTGGCCACTCACAGGGTTCGATGATGAGCATAGTTTGGTCCAGGCAGCTTACCTTCTCACTCGCTCCCACTAAGCCTCTGTAAAAGAGCTGTCATTGTACAAATCACCGTACACCCCTGTCCCAGAGTGTCCCAAGTGTTGTGGTATGAGTGGGTTCCAGGCGTACCAAGATTTTGACACCCCCAGGGGAGCTGCATGGGGACTGGGGTGGCCAGAGCCTCCGCACTGGCTGCTCGTCCATTCCCCGAAGCGTGCTGTGGGTACCTGCTGTAGGTGGAAAAGGCTGGGAGGCGGTGTTCTATTTGATCAAAAATGCCACAGACAAATTGCAAACATAAGCGATACTTTGGGGAACACATGGTAAAGGTTGGTGCCCCCATGATAAAAAGAGCTGCTGCCCCTGAACGTGAAAGATGAGCACATCAGCAGGAAAATGGACAAAGGATACAAGCAGGCATTTCACAGACGTCCAGACAATGGATGTTCAACCTCATTAGCCGTGAAATGCAAACACAAGGACAGTATCATTACTCTTTGCCTCCCGCATTGGCTGAGACGGACAGTCCTGACGCTGGAGGACTCCCAATGGCAACCTAACCTTTCTGAAGGGAACTTTGCACACTAAGAGGCAGCATTAAAGATGTGTGTGCCTACTGATTCCATTCCGAAAAGCTCGTCCTTGGGAGCTAACCACACAAGTGCAAAGGGGTCTGTACCCATATGTTTGTCAGAACAGCAAAAGCTGAGAAACAATGTAAATAGCCATCAATCGAGCTAAATTGCGGCATGCCCTCCCAGGACCTTCTGCGCAGCCATTGCTGATCCGTACTTGCTAATGTGGGACCGTACCCAGCACACCGAGAAAAGGTGGTTATAGCACAGCATTCTGTTAAGGTCATAATCGCACCCAATATTGTGGCCGTGGGATTAGGGAGGGATCTGGAAAGGTGTGTGCAGCAGAATGTGAACGGTGGTTATCTCCGGGTGGAAGGGTTTGGGATGCTTTTATTTTCTCCCCCAGATTTTTCTGTGTTTGAATTTTCTGTAAGCACCTCCTGTCTTTATAGTGGGAGGGAGCTGTTGTTACTTTGGAAAAATTAAATGGATTTTCTGATAATAAAAGACAATCATGCATATGCTAAAAAACTTGGGAAATAGTGAAAAGGACAAAGAAAGAAAACCAGTCACCCGTAATGACGAGCTGTGAGCTCACAGGAGTGAGTTCCTACAGGGGATGAGAAGAAAGTCTACCCGAACAACGGGTGTTCTGTCGTTGGCCATTATCACCCCACAGGTTCAAGTGCAGGGTCCTGGAAAATGGCTGTTGGCATTACTCCCTTAAAATGTGTAAGAAACACCCTGATTTGGGGGTTTTATTCCAACAGTCAGATGAGAACAAGGCTGAGGACCTGACCTGTCCTTGAGTCCTGTGTGCACCTGGAAGATAAAGTCACGGGGTCATTTGAAATCCATATACATTTTCTATTCAGATGTTCCTTCCCTACCTGGGGACAACCATTTCACTTCCAGCTAGCAGCTGTTTTATGCATGTTTGTGTTGCCTTTGGCCAGAGGATCAGCTAGGCATCAGAGTAGCCCGGCTGGACTGTTGTTAAGTGTGAGACTCCAAGACAAGGTGGGGGACACCCAGATAACACGGGGTAGTCATTGAGAATGTGGCATTCAGTTCCCAACTCTCACTTTATAAAGGTCTGTCCGAGTGAGGTAACCTTGATATATCAGTTGTCCCATCCATAAAATGGGTATAATAACAGTAACCTAACTCAGTGTTGTTAGGAAGACAAAAATGGGTTTATGTGTGTTAAAGCACTCAGAACGCTGCCCGGCTCACAGCAAATGGATGGAGCGGTAGCTTGTATTACTTCTTAGACCCACTGGTTGTGTACGAGCCTGGTGTCTGTGGGCCCAGCGCCAACACGGGATTCAGAGTCCGTCTCCTAATGATTTCGCCCGACTCGAGCGCCTGCTAACCCTCTGCGTCTGTGCCGGTTGTCTTGCAGCCAGGAGGAAGAGGAGGAGGCTTCCTCCAGGTACTACGTGCCCAGCTACGAGGAAGTGATGAGCACAGACCTCTCGGAAGCGAGGGGACCAAACCAGAGCCCGCGGATGAGCATCTCGCTCCCCTCCTATGAGTCCCTGACGGGCATCGACGAGACGGACCCCACGACAACCGGGGTCGACGTGGAGGGCGGCCTGCGGAATCCCCCCGACAGGCAGAACTCCAAGTTGGCTAAACGCCTGAAGCCACTGAAAGTCCGAAGGATTAAATCCGAAAAACTTCACCTCAAAGACTTTAGGATCAACCTCCCAGACAAAAATGTCCCTCCTCCCTCCATCGAGCCCTTGACCCCCCCACCACAGTATGATGAGGTCCAGGAGAAGGCCCCCAACGCCCGGCCGCCTGACTGATGGCCCCTGTCTGGCACATTCCCTCCTGTGACTCACCCTCCGCACCCACAGAACCCCATGGAGCCACTCCAGCCATAGCTGAGGAGCGGGGGACAGACGCTCACTGGGCAGTGTGGGTGCGGAGTCATGTGGCTCTGGGGTGACTCACATCCCCAGAGCCTCGTGCAGCAGGCACATTGGAAAGATGCTGGGGACGGTGTAAGCATCTTCCCCATCGTCCTTCCTCAACTGAATCGTTGATGACAACAGCCTCTTTCCGACCAGGAAAGGCCACCCAGCCACCGGTTTAGACTGTGGTTTTGTTTCGCTTTCACTGGGACTGTCTGGTTTGCTTTCTGCACTGGGGTCCTGAACTGTGAGCAGGAAACACGACTCGGGGCTGAAGAAAGGACTCGGGGCTGTTTGGCGAATTAGGCAAAACAAATGGCTGGGTGATTACATGGGGGTGAGGCCCAGGTAGGGGGTTCTCAGGGCCCGGCACGCGGATGGTTCTTCGAGGGCCCAGGGTCTGATGATGGTCTTAACCGGTGTACTTTCCTAGTCTGTCCTATGTAACGGCAGGAAAGGCCACGTTCTGTTCCTTCTAAAATGCTGTGCCACTGAGCTTTTTATAATAAAATATTTTATATGTAGTGCATTTGGGTGCTGAATTACTTAAGCAGCTCTTCCAAGACTGACTTGCTTACAGAGCAACTTCAACAATCATCATGGCGGATATGTGCCAGGCACTGGGCCAGGCACTCCACACGTGTTAGCCCGTTTCACCTGTGCCGTGTTGCAGGTCAGCTCATGCAGGCTCAGGTTAATTTAAGGGCCCCGTGCCACACCCATGGGAAGCGGCAGGGCTGGGGTTTGAAGCCAGGCCATCGGGCTCCAGGGCCTGAGTTCTTAGACATGCTACTGTGCAACTCAGTGTAAAGAGCTTTTCAAACGCTGAATGAGGACTGGTGTTCCCAGGAGGTGAGGCTGTCCCCCTTGGTCCACATGCCCCACAGAAAGTTCTGGTGCTTAGGCAGCAGCTCTCTGCATAGCTAAACATTTCTCCCTGACAACTGGCCCAAGAGGGAGCTCTGCCCCACTTGTCATCTGCTCCTGGAACTGACGGGCCGTGTGGTCATGGAAGGTGGGTGAGCATGTCCTCATGAGAGGACAAAGTGACTACGGAGTCCGGGAAAGCAGTTCAACTAATGAGAAATGCCCAGAGGATCGCAGACTGCCTAGAGGAACGGGCATGTCTGGGGTCAGGGCCTTGACCGTGGTGGGGTGGGAGTCTGGGAAGACAGACCTGCGTCCAAGGGCGCCTCCCTAGCATCAGGCCTGTGGGGAGTCTGCATGCGGGGAGCTTGGTTGGGAGAATAAATTCCCAGGCCCCACATGTTTTTTAAAAGCTCTGTGGGAGGGAAGTGACAGCAGTTTGGAAGTGAATCACCTTATCTCGGGAGTGGCAGCGGTTCTTGAAGTTCCAACCTTTCACTTTCCTGATGCAAATCACCTGTAAAATAGGGAGCCCCAGGAATCTGCTGCTCTGGTCCTAGCCTACTACAGAGCCAGCCTCTGGCTCTCCGGAAATCTCTGGGCCGGGCCTATTCTTCAGCCACTCTTTTTGCTTCCTTCCTCCTGATGGGAGGAAAAAGACAAGAGGAGTAGCAAGGTCCCCAGTGAGCTGGGAAACAGCTCTTTAAAAGGGCTCTCGACCTGGCCTCTGATGGACAACTTCTGAGGTACCTGCCCAGCTTCGACTCTCCTCAGGAGAGAAAGAGGTTTGAGGTTTGTAGTGGGGTGAATGGTGGCCCCCCAGAGATATCAGGAACCTAAGAATGTTACCTTATATGGTACAGGTTGTGCAGCTGTGATTCAGGTAAGGATTTTGAGATGAAGAGATGCTGGATTATCCAGGTGGGCACTCCCTGTCATCCACAAATGTGCTTTTAAGTGGGAGACAGGGGAGGATCTCACACATGGAAGAGGAGGCGGCCACGTGACCACGGAGGCAGAGGCTGGAGTGATGGACGCAGCCGCACGCGCAGGCATGCCTGCGGCCGCCAGAGCTAGAACAGGCCGGGATGGAATCTTCCCTAGAGCGTCCAGGGGAGCTCAGCCGAACACTTGGATTCAGCCCAGTTGGTGCTAATCGTCAGCTTCTGGCCTCCAGAGATCTGAGAGAAGAAGGTTCTGTTGTGTTAGGCCACCCACCGAGTTTGTGGAGATTTGTTACACAGCGGCTTTAGGAAACCAACACAGGGCTCACTCTTCAGTCTCAGAGACCAGCCCCCTTCGACCGACTCGAATGGCTTCCCAACTCTTCTTGCAGGGAGGGGTACTGTGGGAACAGCGCTGAGGACCCTACTTGGTTTGGATGTGTGGGAACGCTAGAGTTTCTAGAAAATTATTCACGTGACTCCGAATATGTCATGGGCATTTAGCATGTGAAATATAGAGCAGGGGTCACCTCTGTCTAAAACAAAGGCAGAGAGCACGTTAGCTTGAGGCTGGAGTCCTGAGTTGTGCAAAGAGGCAAAGGAGTTACCTGCAATATTGAGTTAAAGCCACCTGTCCGAACAGCGGTCATCTCCACCTCAAACTCTGCCAAGGCTCACCGGTCCTCTTTGCTCCTTGGTTCAGACCTGATCAGGGTTGTCAGTTGACTACCAAAAAAGAAAAAGTTTGGAACATAAAAGCCAGAAGACCCTAGCCCTTTTCTCTGCATTGCACTTTTGTTCTTAAGGTAAATTATAAGAGGACAGAGATGGGGGGAAAATTTAAGAAGTCACCCACCAGTTCTTGAGCCCCCTAAATGGACCTGGGGCTATGAAATAGCAGAGAAAAATCCCCACCTAGTGCTCCCATCCCACCAAAAGGAGGAGTCTCAGCAGTTATGTTGGTGTCACGTGACCTATACCCTCTCAGGTCACAGCTGATTGGACCCGAAGCATGTGTTCACCTGACCCAGGAGAGCCAATCGGAAGCTGAGTTGGGTGGGCTATGACCTTCTTTCCCAGGAATTGGTCGTGGGATGGACTGAGAGGCCATTGGGCGATGTGGTCTCGGGGATTAAGGGGACTGTTTGAGAGCCATCAGGATGGGGCCCAGGTGAGTGAAGCAGAGGACGCTGCTCTGCAGAGAAAGAGTGAAGCTGACTGCTGACAGAGGCAGACATGAGCAATGAGACCGCAGAGATGGCTGCCTGCCGATGACTTCCTGGTCCTTGGTCCTGTCCCTTGGGAGTCTCAGCTGTACTTCTGCTCTTGGGTTCCATAAGAGGTGCTGTGTCCTCCCAACAAATTGCCCTTTTTAGCTCTGCCCCTAAATTTAGCAGCAACCCTGCAGGGCGGGCCCTGCCTTTGCCTCGTGGGCAGTGCTGGGCCCACAACATGTTCCCCACCTGCTCTCAATGTTGGTTTCCACTTTTCTCAGCCTGCTTGCGGCTCTGATGAAGGGGACCTGTGAGCAGGTGACTGAGGCAGAGCGTGGAGCCTGACTGTGACTGCCGTGGGTAGCTAGCTGTCCCTGGCCCCGAGAAAGCGATGACAATCGCCTGATGGAGAGACCTGGAGACCCAAGTGCTTCTCCAAGGGTGGGCCTCACGCTGATTTCTGAAAACATGTTCTGGGAAATTCGCCAGGTGCCCTGAGCAGTATGTGAGGCATCCTCTGGGGAAGGGCAGCAGGGCCGCACAGTTCAGGCCATAATTCAGTGGAGCAGCCCCACCGCCAGCCCAGAGCAAGCCTCGGTCCCCCAGGGCTCAGGGTGGCGGTTCCCATCATGAAACATGGCAAGTCCATTTTGTTTGATTTTCAGTCTCATGCCACTTTGTCCCTATATTCGAACCGGGTGTCTGGGACTAAGAAAGTGACTCAGGAACCACAGCCATCGGATGTTAGAGACCCTCTTTTCTGGTGAGTCCCCAAGTATGTTCTCTTTGATTTTAATGGGTACAAGTGAAAAAGGTCCCTGATTAGATCCATTTGGACATCCTCAAGTTAAACAAAGTCTCTTCACTGAAAATATTTTTATTGAGCTGCTACTATGTGTCCTGTGTCAGGGAGAAGCCGCAAATATATGGACCAGGTTCCCACCGACACAGAGACTACGTTCTGGGTGCAGGTGGATGGGAGGCGAACCAGTATTACATACATAATGTAATGTGGGAAGATAAGAAGTGCTGTGAAGAAAAACGAGTCGGGGTAAAGACCCGGAGGGGAGAGGGGACAAGAAAAGTCTCTGGGGGGAGGAATGATGGAGCAAAGCAGCCAGTGAGTCGCAGGGGCATCAGAAAGTATTGCTTCATACGCTTATGCACATTATCAGTCTCCAGATGTTGCCGAACAGCATTTCCCAAACCACGTGGGCCACGGAACTTTTTCCCCACGAGGCACCTTCCATTGCTCAGGGTCAAAGACCACAAGCCAAGGAGCGGTGAGTGAGCCAAACCTGGTAATTCAACAGGGCAGACGCAGGCCAGGAGCAGACAAGAGACCTGTCCAAAGTTCTATAGTCCATTGACGATGTTGTCCGGTAGATGGCTTCCTGTGTCATGTAGCATTCCAACCACAGGTCACCGGCGAGGGCAAACCACTAACTGAACAGCTGGTGGGACAACCAAGGCTGTAGGGCAGGGTCAGCTAGGCTGCTGTGCCAGGAGCCTTCGGCCTCAGACCCACTGCCAACCTGCTGTGCCCACCCAGTGAGGAAGCTCCAGCCTCTGCTGGGAAGGCTTCACGCCCCGCCCCCTGCACGCCCCGCCCCCTGCACGTCCCGCCCCCTGCCAGGACAGCCTTGTGATGAGCTGTGCCTGATCTCCCGAGGTCTGGCCACCTGTGTGGATGGCGGTTTGTGAGGTGCCTCTAGATCATTCCAAAACAGCCTTCACATCGAGCCAAAAGGAGAAAGCCACTCTCCTGTCTCTTTGGTGTCCCAGAGTGCCGACGCTGGGATGGTGAGGGAGAGCAAGCCGCAGCACATCGAGGTGGGATTCTCCGATAATGGATGGAGAGCCGCGGCTGAGGCAGCAAGCCGACTGGGAGATGGAGGAAAAGACACCCTAGCAGCAGTGCACAAAATGTGGGTGCAAATTTAATCCAGAAAATCTGCTGGAGAGGACACAGGGTCACACACACCAGAAGCCCTTAAAATGAGGCGCTTAAAAAATAAAATAAAATGCAGCCCTTGCCACCGGAACTTGCTCAAGGGCAACCTGGCTGCCACCCACGTGTGTCTCACTGACACCAACATGCCAGGGCAAAAGCAGACCCCGGAAGTCTGCAGGTTCGAGGTAGGCAGTCAGGTGGATGGTGTGCCGATAACAACCAAGCCCCAGATGCAACATGTGACAAAACACTGAGAGGTTTCCACTCCTGGTGATGCCTAAACACCCTCACCAATGAGACATCTCGCCTTTGATCAGTGGTTTTCCACCAGGACTGATTTTGCTGCCCAGCGGGTGTTTGGCAGGGACGCTGCTAAACATCTTACAATGCACAGGACAGTCCCCACCACAAAGAGTTATTCTGCCCCAAATGTCAATGGTGCGGTGGCTGAGAAACCCTGCCCTGGAGGAAGGAAGAGCCATCCTCAGACTGAGGGGACTTTGATCATAGAGCCTGGCCAACTGTGTCAGCTCCAGCAAAAAGC